ATCCCCACACAAAGAAATCTAATGGATTTAGGTCAGGGGACCGTGGAGGCCAGGCGACTAGTCCTCCAAGGCGGATCCATCTTTCTGGATAATTTTCGTCCAGCCAGTTTCTAATTATTCTCGAATAATGAGCTGGACAACCATCAAGCTGGAACCAGGCCAATCTTCTTAAATCTAACATAACATCATCCCACATATTTGCATGTTCAGCCTTTAACAATTCCAAGAAGGTCGCAGCATTTAACCTTGCAGGCAAAAGGTAGCGTCTAAATAGTCGATTACGGTAGATACCAATCCACACGTTCACACTAAATTCATGCTGAAAATTTCTTTCCCGAAGTGCATGCGACTTTTCATGCGACCAAATATGTTGATTATGAAAATTTACCACTCCACGTCTAGTGAAGCACGACTCATCGGTCCATAAAACGTTACTTAAAAACTCCCTACTATTATCAGTTCTATCAAGAATCTACTGACAAAATGTGATTCTTCGTTCTCCGTCTCCTGGCTGTAGTCCTTGCACAGGTTGCAAATGGTAAGGACGTCTATGGTCATTTCTAAGAACACGGTGAACATGGCTTGCTGAAATTCCCAAGGCACCAGAAACTCTCCTAACACTTGTGGTCGGTTCTCTATCAAACTCACGCAGAATCATACAGGTAAATCTGCGCTGACGAACATTTATGTTTTGATCCCTTTGGAGATTTCCAAAACCATTTTCAATTATTTGGCGATGCACTCTTACAAATACTGAGCGAGTTGGATGTCTGTTTTGAAATCTTCGTGCGTATTCTCTGGCTGCTTCTGCTGCGTTTCCATTTACAAAGCCATACACAAAATGAATATCCGCTAACTCTTGATTGGAGAATAAAAATGGCATTTTTATTAAACTTCCAAAAAAAAAAACAGGTAAAAGAAACTAAATTTCGTACATTCACAATTGCAAAAAAAACGTTTCAGGTTTCAACATACAACAAAACTAACTGTCAACTAATTGACGTTTAACCTTATTCTGCTTTCAATTTCAAAAATATTTGCAGGCACAGCCTACTTCTAAAAATTATCGAGATACTGGCTTTTTAACGTTATTTTATCATAAATATTAAAAAATTCATCGAACCTTAAAAATAAAAATATCTCAAAAACGGCTAACTATAACGAAAATTCACAAGAGAGCTTTTTTATGTAGAAAAGCGCGAAGAATCAGCTTTTTTATTCAAAAAGCAAAAAGTTGCACTAAGAAATTTTTTTCGGTCATTTTAATACACTACAGGTACAGTAGAGAGCGGTCTCTAGCGGCTACAGTAAAACTATGCCCAAGGTTCGTTTTTTCGTACCAAAAAACCCCTGTATACCAATTTTCACTGTTATACATCAAATATTGTTCGAAATATTTAAAAAAACCTATTTATTATTTCGAAAGACACGCATTTTTCGACCCATGTTTATATAAACTTTATGCATTAATTTTAAAAGTTCTATCGAATCTTAAAGTTATGCAACAATAAACTGAATCACCCGGTATAGATAGGTGAATAGATAGAGAGAGGTAGATGGTCAATCATGGGGGTACGTAATACACAAAGGTGTGCTATCAGGTTTTGCTTTAGACTTGGGCACAGTGCAGCGGATAGCCTTGCTAAGCTTCAGCATGCCTACGGTTTTTTAAGGCATTTTCAGGAGGGAGAGAGTCGATTGAAGATGGATACGAAGCAACAGGTCTTCATCTTCAAGAACCGATAAAAATATCGACAGAATCCATGACCTTGTGGGTTCAGATCGTCGATTGATCGGGAAATAGTTAAATTTAACCCACACCAGCGTTCATCTGATTAAGAACAACTGGCTTTTGCATCACTATAATGCTCCTTGTCACAGAGCAAGTAAAAACATTCCTGTGGCCCCTAAGCCTCCTTATTTGCCTGGCATGAGCTCTTGTGACTTTTTGCTCTTCAGAAGTTAGGACATCACCTCAGAGGAACTCATTCTGGGACGGTACGCAGCTTTTTAACTAGGATCGTTATCTGCATGTCCCAGCATAAAATGGTAGGTACATATTGTATTTTATGACAAACCAAGGCCAAATGAAGCAACATCACACCATTTAAGGGTTAAGTGGAAGAGCAGCTACAGCTGAACTTCGCCCGTATTTGGCTATTTTTTACATATATTTGGAAATAAAGACGTTTATTATTATTATTATTTACTTGAAATTCCTGACGAGTCACCACTGACGCCGACGTAAAAAACAAAACAGGATCAGTTCGGTTGCAGCCAAGCATAATCCTTCGAAACGCGGCCAAATATCCAAATATCATATACGGCAGTAGGCAGCAGAAGAAAAGCGGCAGCACTACGGCATTTGCATGTCTGCGCCCGTCACTTTTGACAGATTTATTGGAGACCTTGCGCGATGCTCTTCGGGGCGAGGGGCGAGCGGGACAGGCAGTCGCGTCGCGGCAGCAGCAGCAGCAGCGGTATTAAAATCCCTTATTGTTGTGTCAGCGTGATGGAAAACGTTGGTCAAGTCACGACGCCGTCTCCAAGACCACTCTCATCCTTTGCAGCTACTGTGAGGTAGTGTTTTTGTTTACCTGTAGTTAGGGCTTTGCCTTCATATACTTTTTGAGATTTCCAGGACTTTTAGACGTAGGCGATGAAAGAAATCCCAACTAACAATTATCACTCCTACTAGAGTTGCAAGAATGATTATACAGTATTCCTTAAACAGCATTGTATGCTGTAAGAACATTGGCAAAGCCCTCTCAAAACAGCTATACAAGCGGAATGGGCACACCTAATCGGACACTTCAGTCATTTAAGAGGTTAAATAAGGGCTGCAGGTAACAGTTATATAACAAAAGTGTAAGCCTCTTGCAGCCGCTATAGGACATTTGCGTCAGTGCAAGATTCAGTTTTTGTCAACTATACAACTATTCTGTTACGTGATTCTACTTTATTGCAACCAAACTATTTCTTATGTATTGTATAGACGGAGTGAAGAATATATAACTAACACATTACTGTCATCTTGTTTACTTACATATCGGCCATTGTGAATTTTATACACAGGTATATGATAAACTTCTACACTGTGATATAGGGCTATTGAATTATTTGCGCAGCAAATTTTATTATGATTATCGTGCAAATTAGTTACCCAATTTCTACGGGCTTCGTATTTGATTTATATTTTGACAATGATCAAAAGTATGTCTAGGTTTTTAAGATGGAAAACTGAACTTATCTGCGTTAAATCTTCCACAAATCCTACATTTAGACACAATTACACTAATGTTTATCACTTCATATCTGTAATTTCGAAATGAAACATAACTATTTAATATTAAATAGAGGAATAAATGTTTGCCCAATATGGCGAGTGGTTGTGTGCAATCATGGCATCGTCCATGTTGTCTTTAGGTTATTAGAATATTTTGGTCTTGCCTGCAGGTGTTATACAACAATTTGACAAATGGCAGAAATGAAATACCGACAGAGTCGAATGATTTATCTAGACTTTGTACCAGATCTATATCTTAGGTTATGGTGAAGTTGTTTACCAACATATTTAGCATATGTACAGCCTTTAACAGTTCCTAAACGACTGTTGTATAAGTGCTTCCGTTGGGAGCAATTTGTTGGCTAAAGTAGTAGATTGCACAGTAAAACAACAAAGCTCGGGTTTGTTTTCTAAACGTTACCATGGATGCCACAACACAACCATTTTGACTAACGTGCAATTATGCCGTATAAAATAGTTGTATAAACGTTTATGCAGCATTTTAAAAATTGCCCTATAAGGTGTTGTATAACTATGCTATAAGAATATTTTAAACACTTCATTTTAGAGCAAATATGTTGCAGAAAGCAAATCTGCATTCCGCACAACATTAAGCCAGCATTTTTGTTTTTAGGCAACAACAATAGACAGCTTTTATGGCTGAACGGTTCTTTTACCAAAAGCTTATACCACTACTTTGCTAGTTGGGATATCTCTGTCTGAAAGTGATTGACAGACTGACATTCACACTGTCACTTAAAGCCTAATCACGAAGTGATAGGAGATTAAACCCATGCTGTGGGGTGAAGCTAAAACTGTCGTCGACAAGGGCGGAGTCAGTTCGTAAGTACACTGCGCGGGACATGTATTTCAGGTTCTGCGCACGTCATCTCTCTCGTACGTGCACTGCGCAGAAAATGAATATGAGCTTCTGCGCATGCATTGTCTCTCTCAAATCTGTTAAATAGGCGATGTCTGTTTTCCTCTTCATTGAATTTTCTTCTAAAATTTTATCTTTAGTACCCAGAAATCCTGAAATAGTCTCAAAAAGTGCAAAAAATCTTGTCAAACATAAGCCTTTCGACAGCCAGCGTACTTCATTGCGAAGGAGTAATTGATGAAAGTGTTAGTCATTTTCTTCACACAACTGCGCAAATAACCGCGTATTCAACGCGTTGCTTCGGATTCGGTTTACTGCATCAATGACTAAATGAAGTGATTCATGCAATCTAACACTCAAATATTTAGCAACTAAATGTTGTCGATGGATGACGCAATGTATTGCTAACACCCCTGATACGTTTTGTTTTTAATAGTTTATAAATCCACGACAACGTCCAACCATGGCAGGTGCCCCATCTGTAGCTACTGATATTATATTTGATAAAGGAATTGCTTTTTCAATGAAGTAATCCTTCAAAACATGAAATATTGATTCACCTTTAGTGTCGGTTATCAAAGTTCTTGCGAAGAGCAGTTCTTCGTAGATTTCTTGATTCATAATAAAACGAACATATGCCAATAATAATTCTGCATTATCAGGTAAAGTTGACTCGTCCAGTTGTATAGAGAAATGGGTCGTTTGCAAATAATTACATAAGAAGCTTTCAATATCAGAACTCATTTCATCAATATGTCTTTCAACAGTATTGTTGCTTAAGGGAATTCCTTTAATGATATTAGATGCAGGTTTGTGTAAAAGAGTTTTTAAAACCTATTCAACGGCTGGCAAAATTAACTTCTCTCCGATAGTATGCGGTTTTCCGGATTTTGCTATAAGTAACGAGATATCGTAAGACGCCCGCAAACCATCATCATTTCTTTGTGACGTCGAAGCGAACATTCTGTCCAGTGTAGGTCTCTTCTGAAATTTATCTGTGAGTGTTTGAAAGTATTTCAAATCTTTCTCTGTTTTATCAGGGTGGCATCTTCTCAGATGATCTTGCAGCTTAGATGGTTTCATAGCGTCATTGCCCAAAACTTTGTTGCATAGAAGGCACATAGGCGATTGTTTGTCCGGCAATGATGGAATGAAGCCAGATTTCAAATAATCAAGACTGTACTGTCTACATTTCTTTTTAGATTCGGACATAATATCAGTCGTCTGTGGGCAAAATTAAATTATTCATATAAGACAGAAAATCCAGCAGCTGTATATTAAAAATATTTGTTGAATTTTCAGAAAACATTCCATAATTCGAACATCTTCTTGCAACAATTAGCTCGAATTACGGAGATTGCACTGTAATTATATTACCGATTGCTAAAACTTTCAAAAAGAAACTATTGAGGAGTACTCTTGTAATTTTGCATGAATGAATATTTAAATACTAATAACTAAAGTCATGATTGGCGTAATTTATATATCTTTGCTAACTACGAGTACAAAACTAAAATTTAATAAAAAATAATGTACTTACTTTTCTCCAGCACTCTCAAACAAAATAACACTCACTCACTATAATTTGTGTGATATACTATCTGTTTATATTTTTTAAAATATTTTCTTAGCACTTTCCTTTTTAAGATTCAGGAAACGAATAAACTTATTTGTCCCACATTCGTATTTATAGAGTGACGAATTGAACAAGTCAGTGCAAGGTAGCGAAGCTCTGAGACTGCGACTCTCAGGTTATTACAAGTTCAAAATGTATTGCGACCCCAAAGCGAATACCAACATCCTACAACTTAAACAATTTTATAAACATATATAATAAATTTTTTACTTCATAGGTAGTTTTATAAATAATGTATATGTTTTGATATTATAAGATAGTATGATGTAAGTAAATAGGTACTATCAGTGTATGTGTTGAGATTCACTATCGTGGACCCCCATATTCATTTCATGAACCCCCAAATTTTTTTTCGCTGACGTAGACCCCTGCAGGTTGTCATAGACCCCGAGGGGTCGATATAGACCACTTTGGGAATCAATGCTATAAACCATGAAGCATACGCTTTACCCATACTATATTTCCAAAAGCCACGCCCTTCTCGGTGACAGGATTGGCTTCATATGAATACGTGTATCCCTCGCATTTTTACCTTCTATCTCTAATCTTCGTGAATCCAATACTTTATTTATGCTTCATGATAAACAGGTGCGCCAATTGAGACTTAATTGTCAGTTAGTAAACTACATTTTTGAAATGCATTGTGAAGTGTAAGGAGAGCTAGCTGGGTATTGGGTTGAATGACAGATTAGTTAACAAGGCAGTGATTAGACGTAACCTTACCTGTTATCTAATATACAACTACTTGAAGACTATACCACTTAATAAAGAAATTCTTCCCTTTTGGGTTGAAGAATATTGGCCATCCAGGTGCATGATATCTCTCCAAGGCTTTAGCAAAATCAGTATGCCGTATAGTGGGCTACGAAGGTACAAATCTTGGCAAAAACTGCCCATACATGAATTTATGAACAAAAAAATGCGGATTTTCATATTCGTTTGATGCGGCGAGTCTATTTTTCATAGTTTTGGCACATTGCGGAGAGAGCAAAGAGACTAAATTAGGAAAAATGTCTTCTATCCCTCTTAGAAAATGCTTCTTCTCAAGTACTGAGCAAAAGCTACAAGATGTAAATTAGTTGAAGATGGAATCGCAGTTTGTTTATAAGGGTAAAGGTAACATTAACCAGACAAATCTCAGACATAACCTAATTTTTTGGATGCCACTTTACTACTCAGCCCTTTTCCAAAAAAGCTTTACCTTTCAGGCTGATAGGTTATATATTCATACTGATTCGATTCATCGCAGTAAAACTATAGTACCTTTCACAAGACTTGTTAAGAAACAGCTGATGGCTTAGTTCAAACGTGTTGTGATGTAAATTGTTAAACTGTGCACTTGTCGAACCATTTTTATCTGCTTTATATTCCTTTGCTTGGTGGTTCATACCGTTGTATGTAAGTATTGTAAACACCTTAACTTTCCACTTTGCCTACAACTTTTTCCTTTCTTGTTCTTCTTTTTTATCTTTGCTACTTTTTGTAAGAGTAGCTCTTTGGCTCAGTCATGTATATTAATAAGAACATCTATTATTGAGCTTTTGCAAGAAGCAAACTCTACGATGTGTGGCGAAAGTGCAACTTTCCGTTTCCCTTTTTGATTAGGTTTTGCGTATAAGAAACAATCAACTATGCATATTGTAATGCAATAGACTGCCGAACATCGACATCATCAAAATCCGCAAAAAATTGCCTCCAACCCAACACTACGCCCATGAACAGCAGCCCCATTTTTTTATTCATCTACAATCCTTCTGTTAGCACAATATATTGGTCAAACGTCAAAGATACCTGTCGGTCGAAATAGGCAACTGGATAATTTCCAGGAAGAAATATATGGTGAAATCGTGCTATAATTCCAAGACCGGGGATGACTGTTTAGGGTATGAAGGGCAGGTCAGAACCACCCTCTGGGTGGGTGGTAGGTGTTATTTATCACTTTTTAATGGGCGATTGTCATTTTCGACAAATTATTATTTGCTTTTCGGCGTGCCGAATGGCGGAGAAGTTCTAGTTAGTAAAATGGTTTTCTCATTTACCTTATGCGTCAAACTTCATCATTTTGTATAAACAATATGGGAAACAGGGGTGGATGAGGTACACACCATAAGCATAAACTACGATCAGGAAAATTTTATATGATATTTTGATTTTGTCATTGTGTAATCTCAGTACACTCTGCACCCACCAATTTGGAAGAAATCAGAAGTGCTGCCACAATATTAGCGAGGATAACGTCGCATACCCACTACTGATTTTAAAATATTTTCAAAATCATATATTAAAATATCCATGTCCTGGAACTCTTCAATATCTTAGAGGGGACTACAACCGAAGAGCGAGCCGGAAGTTGGCCCTCGTATAGGCCTGTCTGTCAATCGATCTGTCAGTCTGTTTGTCGGCCTGTTCGCAAATTTTTGACCTGTCTTTAACTTAGAAAGTACCGCCAGGACTTAGCTGAACCTTTGTACAAGGTCACTACTGTGCAAAAGATGGCAGCGGAGAAAAAGGCCAAAAACAATAAACAAAGGATTGCCTAAACTTGGTTTTTGATGTTTCATCGGTACTTGACCATCTTCGGAAAAAAATTGTAGTGGTAGAAAATTTGGGGCTGGAGTTTGTAGGAGGTAGGCGGCTGTAAATGCTCTATCTTTTCTATCTATCTGCTCTGTAACTGAAAATTCAAATGACAAAAATTTGCACACAATTTGAAATAATGATCGACCGATCCTTCTACGCAAGATCGATAGCGCAGTATTTAAATACTTCTAATCGGAAAAAATACTGATATATTTTTAGTTCACTTCATTAGCAGCTAAATAAAAGCATGCTTTTGAAAATCTACTTTCTATTCAATTTAGTTTTTACTTTTCAGTATTTATGATGTCAAATCGCTAGTTTGGTATTTTCTATACACATTTCACATATTTTATTAGTAAGACACCATATAACATCCTACTTCCTAATTTAACTCGTTTTTCTGTGTACACAACAGTTTTTCATTTCTGTTCTCCTTTATATCTTTTTGTGTCAAGTTTTTTGGATCATGGTAAGGTCCAGGTGAACAATTGTTGTATTAATTTTTTTTTCGGTTGAATGGCAGAGCGGATCTTTCTATACGGTAGTAAGAGCCGAATTCTGCAGTTTGGTTAAGTTAAAGAGAAAAATTGAACAATAAACTTGTATTATTTATTTTTTCAGTCTATTCCGGGAACTTTTTGGTCAAGATGCTATTTGCGTGATGTGTAACTCACTTACTTAATTTTTAATGTATAAAATACGGACTTAGCTCCACCTTGCGAAATTAACAATGTAGCGAGGTCATTTTTATATATGTTTTACGTCGCTAGCTGATACGGTGCGGTTATTATTGATTATAATAGCATTTCACAGTATATTAACATCGGTTTTCAATTTCGTATGGCTACATTTGCATATTTTAATGGACAACATGTAAGTGTATTAATTGTTCTGGCATTAACGTAAAAACATTAATAAAAACGTTGGGACAATATAAATAGGCATCACGTTATGGATAACAATAATTTGTTATTGCTTCATACATAAATTATAAGGTATCTGTTTATTGCGATGATGGACATTTCCGAATAGTTATTGCCTGCCATGAACGAGAATATTGCATTAACTATATATAAACATTTTTTATTAGTAGGTATATAGCATCAGACAGATGACAGACGGAAGTCTTATCATTATTGTTTTAATATACAGACTGTCACAAAAATTTGGAACGCATCGAATACCTGATCTATTTTTTTTTAAATTGGTAGGTTTAGGTATACAACCACGACAGTTCCGGGAAGCTGGACTTTCTTTTCGGGCAATTGCAGTTAGAGTGCAAAGAAGTGTAGACACTGTCAGGCATGGCTTCGAGAAGGCCGTACGCAAAGAGCAAGGGGCACTGGACGCCGCCGTAGAACAACAGACCGTGAAGATCGCCGCCTAAGATTATTGGCCTTAAGGGACCGTTTCTCCACTACCAGGTCCATTGCAAATGAATGGTTTGCAGAACACGGAAGACCTATTGGCATGCGAAGTGTTTACCGCCGAATGAGAAGTTTTGGCTTGTTTTCATACCGGCCACTCTGGGTCCTCCCTTTAACTCGAGAACACCGACGTAATCGCCTTGAGTGGTGCAGACAACGGTCACTCTGGGATCAGGAATGGAACAGTATTGTCTATAGTGACCAGTCTCGATTTTGCTTAGGCATGCACGATGGTCGTGCCAGGGTTAGAAGGCGACGTGGTGAAAGCAGGAATCCACAGTTTTTTGTTGAAAGACATGTTCATCACACTGTTGGAGTTATGGTTTGGCGTGCTATAGCTTATGGTTCCAGGTCACCTTTAATCTTCATCAGAGGTAACATGAACGCGCAGCGTTATATCCACGAAGTTCTAGAACCCCATCTTTTACCCTATCTTGACACCCTGGCAGATCCAACTTTCTAACAAGATAATGCCCGACCACATGTTGCAAGAGTCACAATAGACTTCTTTCAACATAATGATGTCACATTG